TCTGTGTGTATTTGTGTGTGTCCTTTCCTTCCTTCTCCATACCCATGTCATCCATATGCTGATAACACCCAAGTGTTTATCAAACTCTCAACTCTTCTGAGTGCCAGTCCCACAACTCCAGTTAACATTTTGATATCTTTCATTTGAAAATCGGTATGTCTAAAATGAATCTTATTGAAAAAACTTGGCTTCTAGTTTGAACTTTCCTATTTTTCTTTCTCACTATTGCCACTCGTATCATTTCATATCTAAAACCTTTAAGTCATATCGGAAGTGCCCACCCCGTTCACTCTTGCTTTTCTTCCTAAACCAACTTAGTATCATGACTCTCCGATGTGGGAATCTTTACTGCTGTCCACTGCCACTGATTTAATGATAGGAGGATGTCATATCTCAGAGATTATTGGAGACAGAGAAAAACATAAAATACAAACCCTCCCCTTTTTTTACTGTCTGACTCTGAACTGTGTGCCATATATACTTCCCTTCTTATTCCCACTTTTATACCTTTTGTTGTTATAGTGCAGAATGTTCTCTACTTCCCTGCTTATGTGAATTCCACCCTTGCCTTAAAGCTCAGCTCATATCCTACCACTTGTTTTATACTTTGCCTTCTCTGTCTCTTAGTCTACACCAGTATTTACTGTGTTGGAACTCCCAGAGGAATATGTATCCACTTATATATAGCATGAACCATTTATTACCTCGTAGTGTTAGCTTGGTGTGGTGTGTATAGATTCCAATATCTTTCTTCCTATATATTATGAGCTCCTTGAGCTTAAAAATTGTGCCTTGGATCATATTTTTTATTATCTTTGGTAATATATTGTTAGTTGCAAGTAAATTTAAGGAAACTATTCATGATAGAAGTGAATAAACTTTTATTTTGTGCATAAAATTTAAAATAGGACAACACAACTAGAACCCATAGGTAGAAAAGATTGAGAGCACAGTAGGTATCGTGAAGTCAGACTTCTTCATATTGTTCATACTACCCTCATGTAAAAGAAGTTCCCTATTATTTATGTTTCATCATAAGTAATGATTCAGTAATTCAGAGTACTTGTCCATGTTTTTTATTTTAATTTACTTAGTTTTTTCTTAGATGAAGAGGGATGACTTATCTTAGATAGAAATAAAATTAGTTACATGAGCTCAGCATTCTTTTTCTGGCCGTAATGCTCTTTAGAACATACTAGGAAGCATATGATTGGGAAATAAAGGCAGGCTGTTAATGGGGTTTTCTAACACCCACCCTAGTTTGTTAGGCTTTCTGTTCTTTAAACATCTTGTGCTACAGTTGATACATTTTTAATGTTAAGAATAGTCCTAAAACTTCTATCAGATAAAATAATGTATCTGATTATTTCTAGTTTTAGGTTAGTCTATAGAGGTTTTTTTAAAAAAAAAAAAATCAAATAATGTACACTTTCTGTGAGATTACCTAAATACTTGAAATTCTCCTTTATCTATTTAATAATTCTTCTGAAATAGATGTACTAGTATATATGCATTGGATTTGTTTTTAAGTGCTTAATTCATAAATTAGTGTCTTTGTTTTTACTCTATATGAAACAGATGCAAACATACCATGTTATTAATATTAATATTATAATTATATATTTCATATTATAAGATATGATTTATCATATAAATTTTATATGATAATTTATAATTTCTTATATGAAATATATATTTTATATATTTATATTAAAGACTTCCTATCTTTTTAGCTGAAAAGATAGGAAGTGGGGAAAAATGGCCACACAAAGCAATAAAAGTAGAGAAAAATAAGTTGGTAAAGTGGCAGCAACAGCCAAGAAAGGAGTATTTTCAAATTGGAGAGTCCTATGTCCCCGAGGCCTATATGAAGATGGAGATCCAAGAAGAAAGAGCTTAAAGATGAAGGAAAGGCAATAAAGAGATGATTGTAGGGTACAGAATAATAATGCTAATAAGAATATTTACTGAATATTATTTTATATATTTATGTTATATATTATATATATATCATCTTGTATATTATAATGTATTTTTTTATTGCATTTTAGGTTTTGGGGTACATGTGAAGAACATGCAAGATTGTTGCATAGGTACACACATGGCAGTGTGATTTGCTGCCTTCCTCCCCATCACCTATATTTGGCATTTCTCCCCATGCTGTCTCTCCCCACTCCCCACCCCCCACTGTCTATAATGTATCATATAATATAAATATGTTATGTATCTTCTTATACATAAAATATATAAAAATAATTATGTACTTAAGTATACAAAATTATATAAAATATTTAATTTATTTTATATATTATATATTTTATATTTATATATATATGAACTGTTAACATGATAAGTTTGCATCTGTTTCATATGAAATACAGAGTTAAAAGGTGTAACTTTTTTTTTTTTTTTTTTTTTTTCCTGAGACGGAGTCTTGCTCTGTTGCCAGGCTGGAGTGCAGTGGCACAATTTTGGCTCACTGCAACCTCCGCCTCCTGGGTTCAAGAGATTCTTCCGCCTCAGCCTCCCAAGTAGCTGGGACCACAGGCGAATGCCACCATGCCCGGCTAATTTTTGTATTTTTAGTAGAGATGGGATTTCACCATGTTGGCCAGGATGGTCTCCATCTCTTGACCTTATGATACGCCTGCCTCGGCCTCCCAAAGTGCTGGGATTACAGGCGTAAGCCACCGTGCCCAGCCCTAAGTAACTTTTAAAGGAGCTTTGTCATTTGTACATGTGACTTGGGTTGCTAAAATGAAAGCTTTATTTTTTCACATGTCCAAAATTCTTAAGTATTTGTTTAAATTTTATTTCCATTGCCCCATAGTACTTCATGGGGGATAAAAGGATAACAAATAATTTGTCATTTTTAGTAACTTGAGTGATTTCTAGAAAACAGGACATTTTCCTTGAAATTTCTTTTTAAGTAAAGCCAAGATTGCCAGCTCAAATATCCTTTAATTTCTGGATGAGTAACCTTGGATATGGCTTGCTTTGGTATTTTTCTAAAATAAACTTTGGCACTATATTCCTCTAGTCCTGGTTACTTCATCCTTGCCGTGCTCCAACTGCTGCTGTCTTCCTTTCTTTTGCTGTCAGTGGCACCAGCAGGCAAGTAGACCATGATCAAGGAAATAGAGCAGAACTAGGAAAGCATCTGCAAATGTCTTCAGTCATTCACGGGAGGGAATGGCATTTGATAGTGCCAAGTCTGTGCACAGACCCAGGAAAGGATGTTCCCATGGGCCACATTTGGGAAAGAGAAAATTACCCAAGTTCAGCAGAAGACACTGTTTGTTAGGAGAACCTACCATTGCCCTAGTTAAGGGCATGATGGGGGAGGAGGGAGCAGAAAGAGAGAGAGAAAGAGAGGTACATCTGTTGCCTTAATTTAGTCTCAGGATAAGCAATCTGTACCAAAATAAAGTAGCCAAGTATATCTAGATGCTGATACTGATACTGAAATTGCATTGTAATGGTGGTAGCCTTACAAATAATTTCCCAGTGAAACTCGATTATTATTAGCATGTATATTTGCATGAGTTCATTTTGATTTTGTGCAGTTTAATAATTTTAATTCTGTATACTGGAAAGGAAGACTTTTTAGTGTTGGAATTTTTTTTTTAATTTCTAAACTCACAACAGATTTCATTTTTTTTAAATTTCTATAGTGTTGGAATTTTTATAAAGACCTTTTTCATATTTAGAAATAGACATAGAGAGACATTAATTATAAGGAAATTAATATGCACATCTATCCAGCTTGAAATTTCTCACTAATGTTAGGTATTTTCTCAGTAACCTTTCCTTCAAGTTCTGTACTTTTGTATTACTATGTGGATTTTTACTGCAGCTAAGAAATGAAAAAAGGCAGTGAGGCTGGGAAATTTGAATGAATGTGTTTGCTCTTTGGACGAGAAAGGGCAGGAAGAAGTAAATATATTGGTTTGTTTATTCGCTTTCCTCTTACATAAGCCTGTCTTCTGAGGTTGTGTTTAAGTGGCTCACCAAAAATATTATTTTTGAAAAACAGTTCAGTTTATTAAAGGAAACCAGCATTGATTCTATTATTGGTAGTTCTTACATAGAAATTTAGTCACATCAGAATATTTTTATATTGGTATGAAACCACTAGCAATGTGATACTTAAAAAACAGCAAACTTGACATTTTCTGATGATAAAAGTAACCTGGGTTCATGGTAAATTTGTAAAATGCAGGAAAGTATGAAAAAGACGGAAAAAGCCTTTTTAGGGAGAGCCATTGTTAACATTTTGCTGTATTTTCTACGAATACATATAAATTTCTTTATATTTATGATCATATTGTATATGCCTCTGTATTCAGCTTTTAAAACTTAGTATTATGTCCTAGACATTTTCTTATATTATGTGACTCTTTTAAGGTAAATTGTATGTTTTGTTCCTGGATTTATAATAAAAGACATCAAAATTACATCTTGTTTTAAAGATATTATTAGAGACATGAAGTAGATAAAGATTTTTCTTTGGGGCATGAGGGAGGGTGGGAAATATGACTAGAGTATCTACTGATGGGAATAGGCAACATATATTTTTCCTATTCCCACTCCTGAACATATTTAGTTAAAGGAAAAGAGAAAAGACTTTTTTCCCCCTAGGATTTAAAACACACTTTGGGACCAGCATGTTGTTATATATAAACCTATGTACTAATTCTATGAACAAAGTAAGAAAGTTAACGATAGATTATATTTTCAAACTAACAGAATTACTTTAGATCTGCAGGTGACATTTAAAAAAAATATTTTATAACTGAACTAGGCCAAGCACAGTGGCTCATGCTTGTAATCCCAGCATTTTGGGAGGCCAAGGCAGGCACATCATTTGAGCCTAGGAGTTTGAGACCGCCCTGGGCAACATGGTAAAACCCCATCTCTACAAAAAAATTTAAAAATTAGCCAGGCTTGGTGGCGTGTGCCTGCAGTCTCAGCTACTTGGGAGGCTGAGGCGGGAGGAATGCTTGAGCCCAGGAGGTTGAGGCTACAGTGAGCCTAGATTGTGCCACTGCAGTCCAGCCTAGCGCCTGGCGACAAAGTGAGACTCTGTCTCAAAAAAATAAAAATGAAAATAAAGGCATATGCCACAGTGACATGTTAAAGCGGTAATGATTATTTCCAAATAATAGAAGTTTTAAATGTCAGATCAGCTTTGGTCTGTAGATTATAAAAATACTGTATTGGTTTAGAAATGGAGCTAGGGGTGGGATAGCATTAGGAGAAATACCTAATATAGATGGCGGGGTGGTGGATACAGCAAACCACCATGGCACATGTATACCTGTGTAACAAACCTGCACATTCTGCACATGTACCCCAGAACTTAAAGTATAATTTAAAAAAAGGAAATGTAGATATTTAAAATTTTTTAAAAAGCATTTGTCATAGGTCAGTTAGAAGTATTAATAAATGCTATAGTTTAAATACAGAATGAAGGTTTTCACATTATGTTCAAGAATGTAAGTCTTTTCTGTCAGTCTCTTGCATGTACCGCATTAGTTTCTCTCATATACTAAAATTCTATGATAGTTACAGTTACTGCTTAATTAATCCCCTGGAATGTGCTAGGCATTGTACAAGATTTTGGAAAATCAAAGAAGATGAAGCATAGACACTGTCCTTTAGAAGTTTGTAATTTAGAGGTAACTATGATTACAGTGTACTAAGTGTGACAGTAGAGGTTAGGAATAAACAATAGAGTTTGAGCACAGGTAAAGGAAGCCCAAGATAAGTCAGAGGAGATTAAATTTGGCTGGGTTCTGGAGAATCAGTAGTGGGTTTCCAGATAACCTGTGGTGTGGAAGGACATTGAAGACAGAGGTTATGGCTTGTGGAAAGGCTTAGGGTTATTGAAATATGCTGTCTATTGGAAAAAGAATAGGGTCTTCTGAGGTTGTCACAGGTGAATATCAGAGGAAAAGAAGGTAGAACCCCAAACTGAAGGTTTTAATGTGTCTTGTAGCAAGTTTTACTTTATCCTGTAGGTAAGAGGGAACATCATATCTGTTATTTTTAAAACAACAGTAACTAGAGAAATCTCCTTTGCAGTGAGTTATTTTTTAAGCAAGTTGGACATTTGGAATAGGAAGAAACAAAATGAGAAAACTCAATTTTATATCAAGGAAGGAACAATGAAAGCTAAAATAATTTGGTGAACAGCTTAAAGAGAGATTTTAAGGTGGAATCTATAGGACATGTATGAATGGAGAACAATCGAAGATGAACCTAAAGTTACTAGACTGGGTGATACAGAAATTGAAGTCATTTTATACTTTCAGTATGGGTTTATTCAGAGCCAATTCCATGTGCATATCTAAAGCCATGCCGCTATATTTTGAGTATGGATTAGTTAACAGTGTAGACAACGTTAAAAATTCATACATGAAAAAAAATAGGCATGCTGGTAAATTAATGATAAAGTACTGAAGCAGTTCACCAGTTTGAAACTATGATCACACAGACTCATGGAATGTTAGCACTGGAAAGTCTTTCATGATCATCTATTGTGTTGGGATTTTTAAAGGAATTTTAAAAATAACTTATAGTAGTGTATTAACATTTTTGTCAAAGGAATCAGAAAGAGAACATCTAATTCTATTATTATTATTATACTTTAAGTTCTGGGATACATGTGCAGAACATGCAGGTTCATTACATAGGTAAACGTGTGCCATGGTGGTTTGCTGCAACCATCAACCCATCATCTAGGTTTTAAGTGCATTAGGTATTTGTATATACCCACATGCATTAGTTATTTGTCCTAATGCTCTCCCTCCCCTTGCCCCATCCCCCCTACAGGCCCCAGTGTGTGATGTTCCCTTCCCTGTGTCCATGTGTTGTCATTGTTCAGCTCCCACTTATGAGTGAGAACAGAAGGTATTTGGTTTTCTGTTCCTGTGTTAGTTTGCTGAGAATGATGGTTTCCAGCTTCATCCACCTCCCTGCAAAGGACGTGAACTCATTTTTTTTAAGGCTGTGTAGTATTTCATGGTGTGTATGTGCCACATTTTCTCTATCCAGTCCATTGATGGGCATTCGGGTTGGTTCCAAGTCTTTGCTATTGTGAATAATCCTGCAGTAAACATATGTGTGCATGTGTCTTTGTAGTAGAATGATTTATCATCCCTTGGTTATATACCCAATAATGGGATTGCTGGGTCAAATGGTATTTCTAGTTCTAGATCCTTGAGGAATCGCCACACTGTTATTCACAATGTTTGAACTAATTTACACTCCCACTAACAGTGTAAAAGTGTTCCTATTTGTCGACATCCTCTCCGGCATCTGTTGTTTCCTGACTGCTTAATGAGAGAACCTCTAATTCTTAAGAAACCCAGGCAAATTAAAAATCTGTATAATACAATAAAGAAAAATTCAATTTAGAAGGGCATAAGCAGATTTAACTAAGATTTAAAGTGTACTAATTTCCTCATTTAAAATTTCTTCTTCAGTATTATAATTTCAGGTATCTTAAAACAAGGGCTGAATTAAAATACAGAAATTGTTTTTCTTCTAGAAATCAGGCGTCTCTGCATCTTAAATTTTCTATACAGTTCCATTTATCAGTCCTTTGTGCAAGAGTTAGCAATTCATGGCACAAGGGTCAGTTTTTGCCTTTCTTTTCAGAGTTGATGACATTCATCAAACATCGTCTGAATTCCTCAAGTATCATCTGTTCAGCTGCTGCCTCTGAGTTTCCCCTCTTGTCTGCCTGCTCTGCCTGGGCTTTAAAGGAATTTTTTAAAGCAGCATGATATTTTTAGACTAACCAGTTGGTTAAGAAAATATAAGATAAAAAGCAATTGTTGAAAGCATTGTTCAGTGTTCTATTTAATCACAGAAATATCTACATATATTTGAAAAACAGTGACACACATGTGAGATATTTAGTCTGCAGATAATATATCACATGGTGGTTAAGAGCTCAGGCTGTGGAGTCAGAACCCAGTTTGAATCCATAGCTTACTATCTTTAACTTTAGACAAGTTACCTACATACCAGTGCTTCAGTTTTCGCATCTGTAAAATATGAATAACTCATAGATCTGTCATATAGACTATAAATAAGTTAGTATATTTGAAGAGCCTGGAACAGTACCTAGCACATTGTATGTACCATTTTAAGTGTTGGCTGTTATTATGATGGTGCTATCTGGTGTAACCTATGCAGTAATTCAGAGACCTTTTACTTGTAAGTTTTTCTTCTGTTCCTAGATCCTTATTCTGGTAAATGGCTGTTGGGACCTTTGAATAGATATCATTTTTAGAAATTTATGTTCAGTTTTATTGCACTCTCTTTGAGATCTCTGCCCACCTCCCGCTGACACATACTTTGGAGTTATTAATCCTTGAGCCACTTCGCCTGGCTTTTAAAAAATTTCTGTAGCTCCTGTTATTAATATACCATGTTATTAAAATAGCATGAGGTCTAGTATGTACATGAATGAATAAATAATATGACATTTTCAAAGTAATTCATCTTTTTTTTGTTTTGTTTTGAGAAATCTTTTCCTACACTAAGACCTGTATTTTCTTCTACACGTTTTAAAGTTAGTCTTTTACATTCAGGTCTGTAATTTACCTGGAATTAATTTTTTCTTTTTCTTTTTTTTTTTTTTTTTTTTTTGAGACAGTATCTCACTCTGTTGCCCAGTCTGGGCTTGCTGTGGCATGATCACAGCTCACTGCAGCCTTGACCTCCTGGGTTCAAGAGATCCTCCCACCTCAGCCTCCCGAGTATCTGGAATCACAGGCACGTGCTACCATGTCTAGCTAATTTTTAAATATTTTGTAGAGACAGGTCTCACTATATTGCCCAGGATGGTCTCAAACTCCTGGGCTCAAGCAATCCTACTGCCTCAGCCTTTCAAAGTGCTGAGATTACAAGTGTGAGCCATCACACTTTACCTAGAATTAATATTTCTGTTTGGTGTCATTTAGAGATTCACTTGAAATTTTTTTTGCCATGTGGGTATGCCCAGCATCATTTGCTGAATATTGTTTTTGCTTGTTTGTTTGTTTTTAGAAATGGGATCTTGCTCTGTCACCTAAGCTAGAGTGCAGGGGCATGATCAGAATTCACTATACCCTTGAACTCCTGAGCTCAGGAGATCCTTGCACCTCTGCCTTCGAAGTAGCTGGGACTACAGGCATATGCCACTGCACCCAGCTACAATTAAGGGTTTTGAGTAGAGGAGTGACATGATCTGATACAGATTTTTAACAGTAGCTGCTGTGCTGAAAATATACTGAAAGGTAGCATGAGTGAAAACAGGGATACGAATTATAAGGCAAGAGAGAAATTAGAATGACTTGGACCAAGTTGGGAAAAAGGTGGTCAGTTTCTGGATATATTTTGAAGAAAGTTGCAAAAGGATCTGCCGACAGATTAGAGATGAGATGTGAAAGAAAAAGAAGAGTCCAAGAAGGTGCCATGTGGGTTTTTTTTGACCAGAGAATCTGAGAGGGGAAAGACTGAGCTTAAAGCAGATTTGTGGGGAAATTCTAGCAGTTCTATTTTCAACATGTCAGCAAAGCCCATCACACGTCCAAGAACAGATTTGAGTAAGCAAATTGAATATCTAAATTTGGAGTCTAGGGAAAATGTCCTCATGTAAAGATTGCATTTAATGCTGTTCAGGGCCGGGCGCGGTGGCTCAAACCTGTAATCCCAGCACTCTGGGAGGCCGAGGCGGGTGGATCACGAGGTCAAGAGATCGAGACCATCCTGGTCAACACGGTGAAACCCCGTCTCTACTAAAAATACAAAAAATTAGCTGGGCATGGTGGTGCGTGCCTATAATCCCAGCTACTCAGGAGGCTGAGGCAGGAGAATTGCCTGAACCCAGGAGGTAGAGGTTGCGGTGAGCCGAGATCGCGCCATTGCATTCCAGCCTGGGTAACAAGAGTGAAACTCTGTCTCAAAAAAAAAAAAAAAAAGCTGTTCAGTACCCATATACAGTACACAATATACTCAATAAGACTTTATTTTTCCTTAAGACAGATTTAAAATTACTAACTTAACCCTCCCCTTCCCCCAAAGAGAATAAATATATTAATTTTCTTGGATTTTAGGATCTTCAAGATGAAGTTCAAAGGGAGAATACTAATCTGCAAAAACTACAGGCCCAGAAACAGCAGGTACAGGAACTCCTCGATGAACTGGATGAACAGAAAGCACAGCTGGAGGAGCAACTCAAGGAAGTCAGAAAGAAATGTGCTGAGGAGGCCCAGCTGGTAATGTCTGGCCATTTTCTGCTGCCTGCATTTATACATTAATTGCTTTTCCTGGCTTAAGAGGAAAACATTCCCTACTTTTTGTTGGTGGTGGTGGTGGTTAGCAATCTAGTCAGCATTTGGGTTCATGGGGGAGATGGAGCAAGGTTCATCCAGAAATTACAGGCCCTCTTTAGAGGAAATAGAAGGGCAGTTAGTGAACTGTTTTTCCAAATTTTTATTGGAAATATGGTGTCTGTACCTTCAACTCTCCTCTATTCCTCCCCCAGTTACCCTTATCTACCAAAACCACACATCAAAAAACATAATTTTCCAGGCACAGTGGCTTAAACCTGTAATCCCAGCACATTGGGAGCCTGGGGTGGGAGAATTGCTTAAGCCCAGGAGTTGCAGACCAACCTGGGAAACATGGAGAAATCCCATCTCTACAAAAAATATGAAAGCCAGGAGTGGTGGCTCACATCTGTAATCCCATGTACTCTGGAGGCTGAGGTGAGAGGATCACCTGAGCCTGGGGAAGTTGAGCCTGAAGTGAGCTCTGATCATGCCTCTGCACTCCAGCCTGGGTGACAGAGTGAGACTCTGTCTCAAAGAAATAAAGCATCAACAACAACAAAAACAAAACACCATAATAGGGCTGGGTGTGGCTGGGCATGCTTCTATAGTCCCAGCTATTCAGGATGATCACTTGAGCCCAGGAGTTTGAATCCAGCCTGGGCAATGCAAGACTGTCTCTGAAAAATTAAATTAAATAAGTTATTTACTATTTCTGTCCAAAAAAAAAAAAAAATCCCACCAAAATAGTAAACTAAACAAATAAATTTATTTCATTTGGGAACATTTTAATGACATCTTTTCTTTTAATCTCCATTTCTTCTTCACTTTCATATTATAGATCTCTTCTCTGAAAGCAGAATTAACTAGTCAGGAATCGCAGATCTCCACTTATGAAGAAGAACTGGCCAAAGCTAGAGAAGAGCTGAGCCGTCTACAGCAAGAAACAGCAGAACTGGAGGAGAGTGTAGAATCAGGGAAGGCTCAGCTGGAACCTCTTCAGCAGCACCTACAAGATTCACAACAGGAAATTAGTTCAGTAAGTCTTTGTAAAGCAAGAAATATACTCAAATGGATCCTCTGTATCCTTTAGTCAGTTATACTTTCCAACTTCTGCTCCTCGAACCTCTTGCCTAGTTTACTGTTCATTTTTCAGTCATTTTATACAATAGGTTTTTTGTCACCTGTTACATATTAAAACTATCATACATCTTGTACATCTATGTGATGATTATCATTGGAGTGATTAAGAGTGTGGGCTTTGTGGTTAGATGGTCTAGGTTTAAGTACCGGTCTGCCACTTACTAGCTAAATCACCTTAGTATCAGATTCTTCATCTTTAAAATTGGAGGATTAATAAGTACCCTACCCCTTTGGGCCACTATGAGAATAAATGAGGCAAACCTGTGAGACATTTTAGCATGGTGCGTGGTACATAAATGCTCAATAAGTGTTGCTTATTATATAAACAGTAACCTAGTCTCTTCTGTTTTGTGGTTCTAATTTTGAATTCACATTTGCTAATTTGGAAACTTTTTTTTTAGGAAATTGTTACTTCTGTAGTTAAATGTGCATTGCTATATAGATGGTCTTATGTATAAATCCTTTGGTTTTTTATTTCCAGTCTTCCTACGTGAAGACTAATGTTTTAAAGAATAAGATAGTTAGGGCTGGCCACGGTGGCCTATGCCTGTAATCCTAGCATTTTGGGAGGCCGATGCAGTGGATCACTTGAGGCCAGGAGTTTGAGACCAGCCTGACCAACATGACCAAACTCTGTTTCTACTAAAAAATACAAAAATTAGCCAGGCATGGTAGCACGTGCCTGTAATCCCAGCTACTTGGGAGTCTGAGGCACAAGAATCGTTTGAGCCTGGGAGGCAGAGGTTGCAGTGAGCTAAGATCACACCACTGCACTCCAATCTGGGCAACAGAGTGAGAATCTGTCTCAAAAAATAAAAATTTTTTAAAAAGGATAGTTAGAAACACAGAGATCATGTAGTCCATTTCTTGCATTCTGAATATGAACAAACTGAAGCCAAGGAAGTTAACTTTCCCATGGTTACATATCCTTTAAAAGAGCTGCAGTCTAAAGTCTGGTTCTTTTAAAACCCAGTTCAGTGTGCTCAGTTATTATATATGATGAAGTCCTTCACTTTTGTGCTTCCTTACCCCGTCCTATCTGGCAGCTGAGTACCTACCTAGTCATTCATCATGCAAGATATACCTTAAGTTCTTATTCTTTATGGTATTTTCTTCATCCTGCCTTTGTTGGGCTTTATATTTCTGTTATAGCAATAATAAGATTTTTCCCTGCATATTTCCTTATATGTCTGTCTCCCCTAGCAGACGGACATTTTTGGTCCAGAAACATACACATTTTTAAAAATTCCTATCATTTAGCACAGTTCTTGTCCCAGTGTAGGTACTTACTTTATTAACAGGTAACCTGAAAGAGTTATTGTAGTGAGAATCCTACCAGATGAATGGGTATTCTTTAAACTATTTTCTTTTTCTTAATTTCTTAAAAAAAAAAAAATCCAAGTATACTAGAATCTCAAGAGAGGAATACTTATTGTTAGAAATTATTGAGTCTTTCCTCTAAGCCATGTGGCATTCCCGGAGGATTATTTTTAAAGGAAGCAAATGTATCCTTGACCAAGTCTACAGGTATAGCCATTTTTATTTTTTTGAGACCTCCTGAGTAGCTGGGACTACAGGTGCACTCCACCATGCCCAGCTGATTTTTATATTTCTTGTAGAAATGAGGTTTCACCTTGTTGCTCAGGCTGGTCTTGAACTCCTGAGCTGAAGCAGTTCTCCTGCCTCAGCTTCCCAAAATATTGGGATTACAGGCTTTAGCTACCACACCCAGCCCATCAGGAAGTGGAGGAGGGCATTTTTGTGTTACATGACTTTCTAGTAATAAATTCTATTCTGTATATTTGCTTTGTGTTGGCAGATACAAATGAAACTGATGGAAATGAAAGATTTAGAAAATCATAATAATCAGTTAAATTGGTGCAGTAGCCCACACAGCATTCTTGTAAATGGAGCTACAGATTATTGCAGCCTTAGCACCAGCAGCAGTGAAACAGCTAACCTTAATGAACATGCTGAAGGCCAGAGCAACCTAGAGTCTGAGCCCATACACCAGGAATCTCCAGTAAGTCTAATACTTTCACAATCAGTTTCCTTGGGCAGATCAAAGTTTCGTTGGCATTTTATCTAGTATAAATATGTGACCATGCCTCATCTGAGAACAATTGAGATTTCTTCATAAGAGGCAGAGAGTGGGTTCTAATTCAACAATTATACATTTTAACTAGTATGAAAATCGATTGTTTTTTTTTTGTGTGTGTGTGATGGAGTTTTGCTCTTGTTGCCCAGGCTGGAGTGCACTGGTGCTATCTCAGCTCACTGCAACCTCCACCTCCCGGGTTCAAGTGATTATCCTGCCTCAGCCTCCTGAGTAGCTGGGATTACAGGCATGCGCCACCACGCCCAGCTGGTTTTTTGTATTTTTAGTAGAGACAGGGTTTCATCATGTTGGCCAGGCTGGTCTCGAACTCCTGACCTCAGATGATCCACCTGCTTCAGCCTTCCAAAGTCCAGAGATCACAGGCATGAGCCACCGTGCCCTGCCAGCTGATTTATTTTTTATAAAGCCTGTTTTTAAAATAGTATTTCTGTAGAGTAAAACTTTTTTTTAAGTACCTTCACCCAAAACTAAAATAATTTTTTATTATGTAGTGTTGAGGACATTCATTTACCGATTATTTGCAGAGTACCAACTATGTGCAAGAGTGCTGTATTACATAATATAAGAGCAACATAGACAAGAGACTTTAATCTTTCCTTCAAGCAGCATACGGTGTAGTAGTGTAATGCTGTGTTAAAGGGCTGTGCTACAGGAAGTGCAGAATTTTTAGGTAGGACAGTTTGGAGGGGGCTCATACAGATTTTGTTGGGGAAAGCTTTGCAAGTGAGGTTTGACAAGTGAGAATGGGTTGAGCAAAGAAGAGATACACTCCTGCCAGAGAAAACAGTATTAATATAGGTACAAGGTAGAAGAATACATGCAGCACAGAATCTTGAGAAGTTCTGAAGGATATCTTGTGATTGTGGAGAGGGTATTGGTAAGAGATGAGGTGCTCCTAGTGGACATCTGCATTACCTCTGTTGCTTATCAAAGTATAGATGTGTATCCCTTTTCCAAACTTGTTGAACTAGTTTCTAGGATAGAGCCAAATATGTATATTTTAAAAACACATCCTGCTGACCCTAGTGGCTCATAACTGTAATCCCAGCACTTTGGGAGGCCGAGGTGGGTGAATGACGAGGTCAGGAGTTCGAGACCAGCCTAGCCAACATGGTGAAACCCCGTCTCTACTAAACATACAAAAAAATTAACCAGGAGTGGTGGCGGGCCCCTGTAATCCCAGCTACTTGGAAGGCTGAGGCAAAGGAGAATTGCTTATTGCTTAACCTGGGAGGCGGAGGCTGCAGTGAGCCAAGATTGCACCACTGCACTCCAGCCCGGGTGACAATGCACGACTCCATCTTAAAAAAAAAAAAAAAATTAAGATAACCTGTGGGTGATTGTCACGTGCACCTGGATAAAAATGACTTTTAGGTCAGAAAGTGCCAGAAGGTGAGAAATTTGGATTCATCTTAAAGCATTGGGGGATTTATCCTACTGCAATGAATAGCCATTGAAGAATTTTAAGCAAGAAGTGATGTGATTAAACTTATAGAAATGTGGAAAATGGATTAGAGAGTGAGACTGTATCCATAGAGGTATGTTGGAATAGTCTGTGTGAGAGTTGTTTTAGCCTAAATTTAAGCAGTAATGGGAGGGATAATGAGAAGAAGTTTGAGAGATACTAAAAGTGAAAAGTTAACAGACTTGATTTTATTTAGACAGTGCAGTCATGTATGTAATTATACAATATTCTTTCAGCCACAAAAGGCAGATTACTAGGTTATCCTTCAAACAGATAAGGGCTGTATGAAATAGATACTGCCCCTACTACTTCTTAAGTCTTTCACCTACTGTTCTAAATGAAGAAGACAATGGGAAGCCACTGAAGGACTGTTAACCAGAAGGGTCACAATCACATCCACGTTTTAAAGCTATTAGTTTGGCTATAATAATAATAAGAGATTGGAAGGGCACGTATTGGAGGCAGGAAGGCAGTTGGAAGGAAGACTGCTGTAGTAATTGGAACCAAAGATGATGATACTGTAAGTGATTGATAGTGTCAGTGAGGATGGAGAAGAAGGCAAGGATTTGAAAAAGAAGTAGGAGGTAGACTGAGCAAGACTTGGAGTCTTATTCTAACTGGGGATTAAAGATGACCTGAAGGTTTCTAACATGAGTGACTTTGATGCTTGATGACACCATTTCCCTAAAAAAGATTATAGGCCGCGGAAAATGGTGCCTCGCAGCTTGGGTAGTCTTACAATCCTGGTGCTTTGGGCTGCTGCCCTGCTCCTTGCTCTGGGCGTGGAAAGGGCTCTGGCGCTGCCCGAGGTACAGAAGCAAGTTTGAGGTCGAGCTGAAGCAGGGTTGATGGCCAGCCATGCGTCGTGCTTGCCTGCGGTTCCCTCTTCCCCTCTGCTGGCCTGCAGCTCTGATTTCATCCCCGACGCTTTCCGGCCCTGCCCAGCCAGGTATGCACCCAGTGTCCCTGGAGTGTGCAAAATTTGTCCAAAGTGGCCCTTTGTTGTAAAACAACACGAAAGCTAATGCTGCATGCCCATTGCTACCTGAATCAGAAGGGCACCATCTTGGGGCTAGATCTCCAGAACTGTTCTCTGGAGGACCCTGGTCCAAACTTTCATCAGGCACGTACCACTGTCATCATAGACCTGCAAGAAAACTCCCTCAAAGGTGACCTGGTCAACACCTTCCGTGGCTTTACTCAGCTCCAGACTCTGATACTGACAGTTGACAGATGTCAACTGTCCTGAAGGAATTAATGCTTGGAATACTGCCACCTCTTATATAGACAACCAAATCTGTCAAGGTCAAAAGAACCTTTGTAATAACACTGGGAACCCAGAAATGTGTCCTGAGAATGGATCTTGTGTACCTGATGGTCCAGGTATTTTTGCAGTGTGTTTGTGCTGATGATTTCCACAGATATAAGTATATGTGCCAGGGCTCGTTCTCACTGCTTATGTTCTTTGGGATTCTGGTATCCACCACTCTATCCATCTCCATTCTGTTTTAGGGGACCCAATGCTGAAAAGCCAAGACTTCATGAACCACATAGGTCTTACCATTGACCTAAGATCAATCTGATGTATGTTAGCCCATCCAGGGAGCTCTGCTTCCTAGACAGGCATCTTTGGCCAGTGGATTTGCCTGAAGGTTGAGGCCGCTATTGGAAGTTGAAAAATTGCACTCCCCTGGTGTAGACAAGTACCAGTTCCCATTTGTGTTGTTGTCTATAATAAACACTTTTTTCTTTAAAAAAAAAAAAATTATAGAAGGAGAAAATATTTGATGAATACATTCTGCTTGTCTTTTTTGATTTTTAAGTAATTTTTTATTAGTTTACTCTGCCAAGTCAAAAAGTATATAGTTAATCTATTTGCATTAATATTTTATTAGGCAAGAAGTAGTCCTGAACTACTGCCTTCTGGTGTGACTGATGAAAATGAGGTGACTGCAGCTGTTAATGAAAAGGTTTGTCCTGAATTCGACAATAACAAACATTCAAAAGAGGTAAAAATAATTTTATATTTACATTGAGAGTCATAAGGGTGGAAGGATAGGAGGATGTGAATGATCAGACATTACTTAATGGGTACAATATACATTATTCAGATGACAGATACATCAAAAGCCCCAACTTTATCACTAGACAATATAGCCATGTAACAAAATTGCACTTGTACCCCTTGAATTTATACATATTAAATAAATAAATAAATGTTCTTATGTGGTGGCAAGTGCCTATAGTCCCAGCTACTCAGGAGGCTGAGGTAGGTGGATTGTTTGAGCCTGAGTTGGAGGAACTAGACAACATAGACCTTATCTCTAAAAATTAAATGATATTTTTAAAAAATGTCCTTATCACTGTTTTCCTTAGGTATTATATACTATTTTAGGTGAAGGAAAGAGAAAAGTGTGTTAAATGTGCTTTATGACTAGATAAATTTTTGTTATATTACCATCAATTGATTTTTTCAAAGCATATGTATGACCTGAATGTGTGTTATTTCATTTTAAAATGTTACCTTTTAAAATTCTGGTTTCTAAATATATATTTTTTTAATTTAAAATTATTTTTAGGAAGATCCATTTAATGTAGACTCAAGTTCACTGACAGATTCAGTTGCAGATACAAACTTGGATTTTTTCCAGTCTGATCCTTTCATTGGCAGTAAGTACTCTTTTTTTATATTATAGATTTACCCACAAAAGGCTTTTTAATATATAAACTAAGAATTAAGGCTTCTGTTTCAATAGCCTACTGTCTCATTCTGTCGCCCAGGCTGGAGTGCAGTGGTGTGATCTTGGCTCACTGCAACCTCCACCTCTTGGGTTCAAGCAATTCTTCTGTCTCAGCCTCCTGAAAAGCTGGGGCTATAGGTGTGCACCACTGTGCTCAGCTAATTTTTGTATTTTTAGTAGAGACAGGGTTTCACCATGTTGGCCATGCTGGTCTTGAACTCCTAACCTCAAGTTACCCACCTGCCTTGGCCTCCCAGAGTGCTGGGATTACAGGCATGAGCCACTATGCCTGGCCTGATAGCCTACTTTTTACAATAAAAGATAGAGGTGAGAGTGAGGGTTTATATGCCTAGACTTGCTAGTATTTATCCTCCACAGGCAACTAAATCCTGGGACAAAGCCTTTGATTATGCCTTAGGATTCCCTCATTAAGAATGTGTTTCTTCTTTAGAATAAGGACCCCAAAACAAAACCAAAAAAAGTAACTGTTATAGACCAATAAAGAAGACTGGGCTTCTTTTCTTTTCTTTTATTTTTTTAAGACAGGGTCTCACCACGTTGGTCAGGCTGGTCTTGAACTCCCGACCTCAGGTGATCTGCAAGACTGGGCTGCTTAAGTCAGCCAGCAATTGTTTACTAAAAATGCCAACACAGTGCTTTTAAAACAGTAGAAACTGTAGCAGAGTTGAAGTCAGATCCCTCCCCTTAAGATCCATGCAGTCTTATTGAAGAAACATGTTTGATAAATTAAAATGCCTAATATTTATTTTATTTAATTTTATTTCCAAAATTAACTTCTGAAACTGATAGATCAATTTATATCCGTTATAAAGATGAGAAACTGAGGCACACCGGCAAAATAATTTTCTTAGGGTTGTGACAGAAATGAGCTCAGATATTATAATTCTTTTTTTAAAAGACAGTTTTATTAGATAAAGTGTTGAAAGATACATAAATTATATATTTGAAGTTTACAATGTAATGATTTTAGTATATTCACAGAGTTTTGTAGTCATCACCACAATCTAATTCTAGAGCTTTTTCATCACCCCATAAAGAAACACCCAAAAGCAGTCACTTCTCATCCCCCCAGTCCCTGTCCCTAAGCAATCACTGATCTACTTTCTGTCTCTGTAGATTTGGTTATTTGTGGAATTATATAATATGTTCATACAAGAACATATGTGTAACATGTTCTTATATGTAATGTGTTCAAATTACATGTATACTCTTATGTACGCGCTCTTTTAATCTTTTACTTAACATAATATCTTCAAAGTTCACCCATGTTGTAGTATGTTTCAGTACTTCATTCCTTTTTACTGATAAAAATTTCATTGGATGAATATATTTCACACTTATTTATTGGTTGATGGACATTCGGGTTGTTTTGACTCATGAAAAATGTTGCTATGAACATTTGTGTACAAGCTTTTGTGTGAATATATGTTTTTATTTCTTCTCCGTATATATCACGTCACATGGTAACTGGAAGTTTAGTTGGTACCTCTATGTTTAACTGGTTAAGGAACAGTCAGATTGTTTTTCAAAGAGACTGCATTGTTTACATTTCCAACAGTGTCATATATGAGTTGCAATTTCTCCGTAGCTTCATCAACACTTGTTATTATCCTTTTGATTATAGCCATCTTAGTAGGTATGAAGTGGTATCTTAATTGTGATTTTGATTTGTTTTTGTTTTTAAGACTGAGTCTTGCTCTGTTCCCCAGGCTGAAGTGCAGCGGTGCAGTCTTGGCTCACTGCAACCTCAGCCTCTAGGGTTCAAGTGATTCTCCCGAGTCAGCCTCCCAAGCAGCTGAGACTACAGTTGTATGCCACCACTCCTGGCTAATTTTTGTGTGTTTCATAGAGACGGGATTTTACCTTGTTAGCCAGGATGGTCTTGATCTCCTGACCTCGTGTTCCGCCCATCTCGGCCTCCCAAAGTGCTGGGATTACAGGCATGAACCACCGCACCCAGCCTGATTTGCATTTTGCCACTGACTAATGTGGAACACCTTTCTAGATGCTTATTCAATTTTGGTGAAGTCCAGTTATCTATTTTTTTCTTCTGTCACTTGTGCTTTTGGTGTAATCTAAGAAACTATTACCTAAGTCATTAAGATTTAATGATCTCTTTGTCTAAGGGTTTTATAGTTTTGCTGTTACAGTTAGATCTTTGATCCATTTTAAGTTTATTTTTGTATATGATGTGAGATAGGGGTTGAGCTTTATTCTTTTGCCTGTGGATATCCAGTTGTCCTAACACCATTTATTGAAAAGGCTGTCCTTTCTCCATTTTATGTTCTTGTCAAAAATCAAATGGCCACAAATGTAAGGATTTATTTCTGGAGTCTTCAATCCTGTAAGAATTTGTTGTTGTTGTTGTTGTTGTTGTTTCAGTAAAGCTTAGTATCTTTATTTCTTTTTTTTTATTATTTTTTTGAGATGGAGTTTCGTTCTTGTTACCCAGGCTGGAGTGCAATGGCGCAATCTCGGCTCACTGCAACCTCCACCTCCTGTGTTCAGGCAATTCTCCTGCCTCAGCCTCCTGAGTAGCTGGGATTACAGGCACGCGCCACCATGCCCAGCTAATTTTTTATATTTTTAGTAGAGATGGGGTTTCACCATGTTGACCAGGATGATCTCGATCTCTTGACCTCGTGATCCACCCGCCTTGGCCTCCCAATATCTTCATTTCTAAACTGGTGATGATAATGCCCTCCCAGTACTCTTATGAAAAGTAGAGATTTTGTTAGTAACATTTTTGCTGTAATGCCTGTCTTCCCCCCCATCTGTAACCTCAACTTGTGATGAAGGTAAGTATAGTTGGCTGTATATTTCTTAAGTCAATGACATTCATTATTTTATCTACTTTGAAGTGAAGTTATTGAAATAAACTTTGCTTTGCTTTTGTTTTAAAGTTGCCCTTTAAGTAATAGTGCCACCACAGTAAATATTGTTATTTTGATTTCTGTGTGTTTATTTTATCACAGGTGATCCTTTCAAGGATGATCCTTTTGGAAAAATCGGTCAGTATCTTATTGAGTTCCATCTTAGCTTTAATTCATTTCTGCTTAATAATAAGCTTATGTTATTTAGGTTTGAAACTGAAGCCCCAGTAAGATGCTCTATCCTGGCATTTTCAGAAAGAGAGTAGTAATTCTTGTGATTTTGCTTAATAAATTTTTGCTTTACTTTTATTTTTCCTGTTTTTGTTGTTGTTTTGGTGAGGTTTTTTGTTGTTGTTGTTTGTTTTTTATTTTTGAGACAGGGCCTCATTCTGTCACTGAGGCTGGAGTGCAGTGTGTGTGATCATAGCTCCCTGCAGCCTTGATCTCCTGGGCTCAAGCAGTCCTCCTGCCTCCGCCTCCCAAAGTGCTGGGATTATAAGCATGAGCCACTGTGCCCAGTAGCTTTACTTTTTTGAAAATGACATTAGTGTTTAGTCTTTGGTGCTTTTAATATTTATTCTGATTTCTCCTTATTAACTGAAGGTTAGGTGAACATAATGATCTGTACTACTTCAGGTTTTAGAATGTAATTTTGTTTTCCTAAGATTATGGCCCACACATGTGATTGGAGGAAGAGGACCTTGAAGAATTACTAAAACATCAGGCTTTTTGAGATACTCTTTTTCTAGGAATTTTCATTAGAATAATGCAAATCTTGTTTGCCATTTAGTTTTGTGTTCCAAACCTGTTCTAAAGTATTGGCTATTAGCTTTGAGCTCAGAGAGAGAAATACATTTAGAGGTTTTTGTTGTGTTTTCTTTAGTTACGATAGCATAGAATAAGGGGACTTAAGATTGGATCTCTTGAAATTATATATTAATTTAAAAAATAAGTTTATTAGGTGAAAGTTTCTATATCTTTTATCAGAATTGCAAAGGAATCTCTGAAATAAAAAGTACTCAGCTTAGATTCTACAGGATTTCTTTTTTTTTCTTTGTTTTTCGAGATGGAGTTTTGTTCTTGTTGCCCAGGCTGGAGTGCATGGCGCAATCTTGGCTCACTGCAGACTC